AGTTGTCCCTTGCTGAACCAGCCATTCAGACTCTTGGTGCTGGAGTGGCTGTGGTGACTCCTGCCTTGGCCTCTGCCAGACTGAAGGTCTCCATGGCCACTCCAACACTTTTGGGAAGGTCTGACAGCATGGAAAAGGTGGTCACCATCTTTCCAAGACCATGGCAGAGAGACTAACACTCCAAGGACATGGAGAAGGGAGAGGGCTCCTATTTGCAGAGAAAGCCCAGGAGCAAGGCAAAGGGCCATCTTCTCCCTTCCAGCCTGGTTTTCTTCCAGCTGGGATGGGGTCACTCAGTGAGGTGGGATCGGGGATCTTTGCAAGGTGCAGTAGCAGCTGGGAGCATCTTTGCCAGATGATGGGGTTTGGATCAGTCAAAGGAAGAGTTTTGGTCTGGGTTTTAACTTGGAGACAAGATGCGTTTAATGTCCCCAAGTGATGGGTCGTGTCTTGAAGACTAGAGACATGATACCCTGGTCACTGGCTCCACTTCTCTGTGGCATCCTGATGGCCTGGGAGCCGCTGGCTTCTAGAGAGCTACTGCCTGACCTGGCACGGCTGAGCTGGGATAAAAGGATTACAGCCCCATTAGGTGATGTTAACACGCCGGCCCTGGTGAAGCAGCTTCATGAGCAGCAGGAGGGGAGGTCTGAGTTCTTTCCTGTGTTGTTCGCTCCTTGTGAGAGGCTGCCCACAGGAGCAGAGCCAAGGGATGACCCAAGCGCCCATGTGTCCCATCCTTGCTCTGGCTCTGAAGTGGCAGAAAGTCATTAAGAGCAGCCAAACTTCATTTTGCAGTAATGTACTCAAATGGGGACTTTGAGAGGAGAGGTGCAACGTCAGCTGGAGAAGACCCTGGTGTGGATGTGGGGTTATGGTCCCAGCACTCCCTGCAGTGGTGCAGGCTGTGCACGTTCTTATGTAGCCTCTTACAGTGACACGATTCTGAGTTTTCTCTCTTCTCCCTCCTTTCCTCTTGGTCACGGTGGCTGCCAAGCGCAGCAGGAACTGCCAGCCCGCACCAATGGCTCAGCACCCACTGCCCCGGCGCTCGCCCGCGATGCCCTCCACACCAAGATGGAGCAGCTGGAGGAGCAGCTCCTCTCCAAGATCCTGACCCTGCAGAAGGAGCGCCAGGCCGCCAACACCGACCGCAACCAGCACCAGCACGACATCGAGAAGGAGCTGAGCTCCCTCCAGAACCGGGTGACAGAGCTGGAACATGGTGAGTCCTGCCTGACAGAGATGGAGGTAGTGCAGGAAGGTCCCTACCCCAACGTGCATCCCCACAAGAGCCCCAGGATGGGGTTACCCTCATCCCAGTGATGGGTGCTGACCCTCCTCTCTCCCTCCTCCACATCCTTGACATATAGGACCACAGGGCTACAGCCCTCCTGATGCCTTCAAGGTGACCATCCCAGTGCAGAACAACTACATGTATGCCCGCATGAAGAAGAGCTTGCCGGAGCTCTATGCCTTCACCATCTGCATGTGGCTGAAGTCCAAGGCCCTGGGCGGGCTCGGCACCCCTTTCTCCTACTCTGTCCCAAGTCAGTCCAATGAGATCGTGCTGCTGGAGTGGGGCACCAACCCCCTGGAGCTGCTCATCAATGACAAGGTCAGCCCAGCAACAGGAGGGGCGGGAGGGAAGCCCCTGCCCTCATCTCCCCTGCTTCAACCCCCCTGGAAATGATGCTCCTGGGGGTACGGGTGTGGGGGAGCTGGGAGGAATGGGCCTGGAGTGGAGGGGGCAGGCAGAAAAATGAGGAGGTTGGGGAAGATGGCTCACTGGGGTGTGTTCTGAGAGGGGAAAAGCAGCACATTGGGGTGTCTGTAGAATTTGGGGTGCCATTGCCATGGGGGTGCACCACCTGCTCTGCAAGGGTCTGGGGGGACACCAGGATCCCTGGCAGTCCCACCGAGCACTAGGCTCCTGCTCTTCTCTCTAAGGTTGCCCAGCTGCCACTGAGCCTGAAGGACAAGGCCTGGCACCATGTTTGTGTGGCATGGACCACCCGGGATGGCAAGTGGTCAGCGTACCAGGATGGCGAGCAGCGGGGTGCTGGTGAGAACTTGGCCTCCTGGCATGCCATCAAGCCTCAGGGTGTCATCATCCTGGGCCAGGAGCAGGTATGTGCCATCCCAGTGCTGAGAGCTGCCAGTTGACATTGATTCGGTGTGAAGTCAGCCAGGGGAGGCAGCCCCCGAAATGGGGTGAGGGCAGGGGGTGGCATGGGCAGCAGCACTCAGGATGGCAGCTTGGGCAAGGGGCTCTCCTGCCTGCTCAGCTGACCTCTGAGTGGGCTGCATGAGTGCACTGTTGTCTTCTCTTCCCTCTACCCTCTGTCCTCCATTTGCTCCTCACCTTGTCTTCTTGCACCTCCATGCATCCATCCACTCCCCTCCTTGCCATTGGGCATCTTGCTCTGTTCCTCCCTGATCTTCTCCCTCTCTCCCCTGCGCTGTCTGCCCATTGGATGTGTTTCCCTTCCCGTGTCCCACCACCTCTCCTGCTCTTTCCCAGGACACGCTGGGCGGACGCTTCGATGCCACGCAGGCCTTCGTTGGGGAGCTGGCGCAGTTCAGCGTGTGGGACCACATGCTGGCACCGGCAGAGATCCTGGCCTTGGCCAACTGCACCTCCCGCCTCCAAGGCAACGTGATCCAGTGGGATGACCAGGCGGTGGAGGTCTTCGGGGGTGCCAGCAAGGCTGGCTTTGCTGCCTGCGAGGAAGGGAGGAAGGCATGAGCAGCCCCTCGCCTCCTCCCCAGTGCCAAGAAGCCCTGTGGCAGCCCAGATGCAGGGAGCCCTTTCCTCCCCTCCCAGACCACTGAGCGCCCTGTGCTGGTGTCCTGGGAGGGAGAGGGGCTCCTGGCAGCCTCCCTTGCTCCCACACTGACAGTGTGGCTTTT